GACAAGTGCCAAATGATTTCCCTCATTTGTGGAGTATAACAATGACGCAAAACTGAAGGAACAAAATAGCAGCAGACTCAGAGACTCCAAGAATGAACCAGTGGTTACAAAAGGGGAGGCGTGTGGAAGGGAGGGAGAAGGGGACTGAGGGATATTATGTTTAGTACACATCGTGTGGGGGATCACGGGGAGAATAGTATAGCACAGAGAAGGCACATAGTGGGTCTGTGGCATCTTACTACACTAATGGACAGTGACTGCATTAGGGTATGGCTGGGGACTTGGTAATATGGGTAAATGTAGTAACTACATTGTTTTTTTCATGTGAAACCTTCATCAGAGTGTATATCAATAATACCTTAATAAAAAATTTTTTTAAATAAAAATAAATAAATGGGAAAGGGGTGAGGGAGGGAGAGGGGAAGGGGAAAAGCCACAGGGAAGAAAAAAAACTTCAAAATGTATAATACTGTCAGAGAATATGAGAATACATTGCATCCATGAAATAAGATTCTGTTCAAAATAATAGATGAAAAGAATTATTGAACACCAAAACTATGATTTTTTTAAAAAGTGTTCAATAGATTAAAAGGTATGTTGATGAAATAATCCTAAAATTGGGAAAGTAGGGACATACAGGAAAATGAAAGAGAATGCTTATAAAATTAGAGAAAATATCAAAGGTGAAAATACAAGTTATAGCTTTCGCACAAAGATAAAAAATAAAAAGGGAGAGAAAATGACCACAGAATTTGACCAAAGAAATTATAAAAACAAATGTGTAAGAACTAAAGGAAAATTATGTAAAATCTGGAAGTATTCCTTGATTACTCAAAACAATGAAAATAGACTTATATCAAAACATAATGTAGCTCTTTAAAAGGTACTTAGAGATTACAGAAAGAAATAAAGATCACATATAAAATAAGTCAGAATATCAGACTTCTCAGAAGCAGTGGAAGAAGATAATGGAACAATATCATCATAATTTTAAAGCCTAATAATTACCAAGCCAGAATTCTATATCTAGCCAAGCTATCAATAAATTGTGAAACTAGAAAACTTCTATTCAAATATCTAAGCTCTCAATGTATTTCCTACCACTACTGGATTTACAGGAATGTACTGAAAGCAGTGTGCCCCCGTGAAAGTAAACCAAAAAAGAGGAACACATGGGACCCAGGGAATGGTGCATCCAACCCATCGAAAATTACGAAGGAAATCCAAATATGACAGATGTATAATAGACCCAGAAAACCTCATTTTGAAGCAGGAAGATCAGGCTTTAGGGGAATTGTCCACAGAAGAAACATAAATTGATAGATGTTGTAATGATATCTTCTATCATTATTTTATTATTTTGAGAATAATAATGTCTTCTAATCATTCTCCTGTTATTTTGAGAATGTTTGGGGATGAACTAAGTATGACATGCCAAAAAGTAGATTAACTGTAAGTCCTACTTGTGGTAGGATTTTTCAATAATTCCTGCCAAATTATTTCCCCACGGACAAAAAGATCAACATGGCTAAAATGAGGGAGGCAGTGGGAAAAGTAATAAGTGATGGTATCACAGAAGTAGAACAGGAAGAGCATGGAATTTTTTTTTAAACCATTTAGGTCAGTCTAAGGACTGTCCTTTTGTGAGCTCACCATGCAGTCAGAGGCATCCAGCCTACTTTGTAGTCCTTACATTTCTCATTCCCACCATCGTGGATTATCCAGAAGCCACTTAGTGTTAAAACCAAAACTCTGAAGAGTGAAATGTTTCCCTACACATAGGCTAATGGATTAACTTTGCACAGTTATATACATATACTAACAGAAATACAAGACTTATGGATCAGGGAACCTTTTACTTGCTGAACAGTTTTCATTGACTTCTGCATTTCCCAGATCCCCATGAGGCAAAGCAGTGAGGTATCCTTATGTGTGCAGGGGTTTGCACCTCAGGAGAAGAACTCCAAAATCATGAAATTCAGGGTTTATATAGGAGTTGCTAGCTCATCTGTCCATCCTTCCCTCCAGAGATGGGGAAGAGAGACCTTATCTTTTACTCTGAAATGTAAATAAATTGGCTCTTAGAAGAGGATGGAAAAATATCCAGGAATGTAAGCAATTGGCTCTGGGAGACATAAAAAGTTATCTCTAGACTATCTTACCCTTAGAATGGGAGTGATATGGCTCTGGTGAGAGGAGACATATCCATCATTTCAGTGTTAATTTCGGTTGCTCAGAAGGCCCAGACAGTGCAGGAACACCAAGAAGTCCAGGGAAGACTGTCTTCCAACACTCAGCTCACCACAGCCTCAAGCACTTTTTGCCAGTTATTGTTATGCCATTGAATGCCATGGAACACTAGTGTTCCATTTTCCATTGTTAACTAGATCCTGCCACAACCAGGTCTGATAAACAATCCCAGTTCCCTTTTCTTATTAGCTGTTACTTGTAATACTTTCTGGTACCAGATACTTCTTACAGTTAGAGTTCAATTTCAGGAAACAAAATAAATTTTTAAATGTTAGAGAATTCAGGTGTAACAAAATTACTGAAATAACAATAGAAATGAGTTCTAGACTGGACTTTAGGAATGATTCTCAGAACAAGACAGCATTTGTTCCCAACAGAAGATGTTACTTCTGCCTCAAACAAGAAAGTATGATTTAGTTGAATAAAAATTGAACATAAGTTAATATACTGTCCTACATAGTATGATAAATTTGGCCTAGATTTTTTTAAATCACAAGTACTTTTATTCCTGTCCCTCTTTATAATTTTTTTGTTGAAAACAGTTCCACCTGTACTTGAGAAAAAGTACAAAGGACAATATAAAATACATTTCTATTTACCACCTAGATTTCACATTTAACAGCTGCCTGTGTAATACTTAAATTTATAATATATGTATCATTATAAAAGAGAACATTACAGGTAACTTTAAATTCTTTGAATCCCTAGTCATATATTCTCCCTCCTCTGACGTATCAACTAGCATTTGGCATAGATCCTCAGGCCACCTTTAATAATTTTGCCTACATTTTTATTTATCCTTGCATAATATATAGCATTGTTTCATGTGAGGTTACTTTAAGCTCATGTAACATTTCATACTTAATTATTCTGCAGTGTTATACAGATGGTGACATGTAAGATTTTTCTGCTTACCTCTTTTAAAAAGTATGATTATGGACTCATTGATTTTTATTCATTCAATATCTTTCAGTCCACAGTAATCCTTATTCTCTTTGCTGCTCAAATTTTAACTTTGATCAGAGGTGTAGCTCAGTTCTGTGCTGGACATGACTATATTAATTTTCCAACTTTTTATTATTAAAATTTCCAAGCACAGAAAAGTATTTTTTTTTAATTATGGAAAGACACTAGCATACTCACCACTTACATTTAATTGTTGTTAACATTCTGCAATCTTTACTTAACTGTATGTTTTGTCAAACAATTTTAAAGTTACAGACATCATGATTATCAACTTAAGTACTTCAGCATGCAAATAAGTTCAGATTTGAGTATCATCTATGGACTGAAATATTCCTTAATTTGATCTTTCAATCCATTACACTGGGGCCAGCAAACTTTTTCGGTAAAGTGCCAGATAGTAAATATTTTAGGCTTTGCAGGCTGTACAGTCTCTGCTGCAACTGTTCAACTCTACTGTTGTAGCACAAAAGCAGCTGTAGACAGTATATAAAGGAGTGAGCATGGGTGTGTCCCAAGAAAACTTTATTTACCAAAACAGGCCATGGGCTGGATTTGGCCTGCAGACTATTGTTTACTGACAGCTACCTGAAAAGCACTGTTCTTTTTCGTGCACAAACTATCCCCACTCATGGCAGTGGGAATTCCTGCTAGCTTAGCTACTGTGTGGTTTTTAAAGACCTAATGTTAATGAATCATTGCTTTCTGGCCCAACCTATCCCAAGCTTACCTTCTAATGCCTTTACTCCATTCCTGGAAGTACTCATTTCATTTTGTGGGCTTGGTATTAAGACTAAAACCTACACACTGTATGGATACTCACTGAGCTTTGGGTGATGTTGCTCCTTAGCCAGTATGATTAGCAGCGTTAATGGATATTTTTAACCGAATATTTTTATTTTACCTAAATAAAATGTCCATTTAAAAATAACAATGTTTAAACTAGCTTTGGGCCTCATACTTTTTCTTTTCTCTTGGGCTCAAAATCTTGACTCCCAGTTAACAAAGTTGCCTGTTTGTTTGTTGCTAAAATGTAAATGAAATCCTTTCAAAACAACATACTAAAGTTACTACAAAAATAAAAGGGCTGAATGCTTTTAATTTTCAGAAAACTAACATGTCCCAGGCCACATTTTTGGCCACCCTAATGAGACAGGATGGACACCCACCCAAAATTTGGTTCAGATTTTGAGACTGCAGACACCACAGCCACTCCCAGAGGGTGTGAAAAGATTATTACTTACGTAATTGAGGTGTCTGGGGAGAGCAGGACAGGCCTCTCTAGGAGGTTAGAAAACAGTTTGAGAGGGCAGGGAAAGGAAGCCTCACGCTCGTTTGTGGTTAGGGGGTGGATCTGGGCTGAGCATTTCCTTGCGTGGGCAGAGGCTTAGGTGGTCTGAGCCTCACAAAAGAAGGGAACACCAGGGCTTTCTCACCAGCCCAGATGTGGGAAACAAGAGGAAGATGTCAGCAGTCATCAAAAACTAGAGTCAGACTCTTTTTTTTTTTCATAGTCTTTTCAGGGGTTTTATACATTATTATACTGCTTTCAGATAAACAACTTAGTGATTTATCAATTAAGTGTAGTTACCATCTGTCACCATACAAAAGTATTACAATATTATGAGCTACATTCTCTGTGCTATACTTCCATCCCTGTGATGAATTTTATAACTTGAAGTTTGTATGTCTTTATTCCCTTCACCTATTTCTCCTGTTCCCCCCACACCATGGTTATCAACCATCTGTTCTGTTTTGAGTCTATTTCTGTTCTCTTTGTTTTTCAGATTCCAGATATTAGTGAAACCATATGGTATTCGTCTTTCTCTGACTGACTTATTTCACTTAGCATAATACCCTCTAGATTCATCCTATGTTGTTGCAAATGGCAAGTGACTTCCTTCTCTTTATGACTGAATAATATTCCATTGCATATATGTACCACATCTTTATCCATTCATCTACTGATGGACACTAATTGCTTCTATATCTTGGCTATTGTAAATAATGCCACAATAAACACAGAAGTGCATATACCCATTCAAACCAGTGATTTTTTTTTCTTTGTATAGATTCCCAGAGGTGGAATTGCTGGGTTATATGATATTTTTAGTTTTTTGAGAAATGTCATGTTGCTTTCCATAGTGGCTGCACCAATTTGCAATCCCTCTAGCAGTATGTGAGGGTTTCCTTTCCTCCACATCCTCACCAGCACTTGCTATTTCTTGTCTTTTGGATAGTGGCCATTTTGACTGGTGTGAGGTGATATCCCCATTGTAGTTTTGATTTACATTTCCCTGATGATTGGTGATGGGAACATCTTTTCATGTGCCTGTTGGCCATCTATATGTCTTCTTTGGAAAATGTTTACTCAGGTCTCTTATTTGTTTTTTTAGTGTTAAGTTGTGTTGTATAAGTTCTTTATATATTTTGTGTATTAGCCCCTTATCACATATATTTTGCAAATACATTCTCCCATTCAGTAGGCTGACTTTTCATTTTGTTTGTGGTTTCCCTTTGCTATGCAGGAGCTTTTTAGTTTGATGTAGTCCCACTCGCTAATTTTTGCTTTTGTTTACCTTGCTTGGGAAGACATACCCAGAAAAGAATTTTCTAATGTTGATATTCCATTGTTTACTGCCTATGTTTTATCAGATTCTGTTACAGTTTACTCCTAGTGAATGATGATTAAGATGTACTGTTTTATTTAATTGCATTTGAACTTGTTTACAGTAAGCCATTATGGTGCTCTATTAGGTCTGAAATCTGAAGCCTTTGAAGGTGAAGTTTCCACTGACTGCCCTGTTCAAGAGCCCAGCCTGTGAATTTAAAGTGCTTTGGTCTCTATCAGTAATGTCTGGGACTTTGATAGGGACAAAGGGTACCCTGGTGAGGTCTCATATTGTGGCTTTGGTAAATGCAGAGCTATGTGTGACTATATTTTGGTATCTGTAAGAGATCTTCAGAGTTCTTTACCCCAAAGGGAACAACCCTTGGGCAATGGTCCAAGAATCTATAAAAACTTACAGCCTGAAGCCAAGTATAGCCCCAGCATTACTGAGGCAGGGAGACCATGGTGATTGTGGTTCATCTCTGCCCCCCATTCAATACTTCATGCTCATTTACTACCTCGTGCCAGCTCAAGTCTACCTGCGCCAACTGTCAGTTCCTTCAAACTAACTTCAAAAGTTGTTCCTGGTTTCACGGTATGGGCGGTGAGCCTCATCAGTAATCTGCCATGCCATTATTCTCCATGGTTCTCTGTACATCTCAGGACCAAACCTCCAGAAATGATAAATGCCAAATGCATGGAGCATCTCCAAATAAAGAGTACAAGATCTTTATAAAGAATGAGAATAAAGAAAAAATAAAGAATAAAATTATATATCAAGGCTCTCTTTTTGAATTTCTTCGTCTAGATTAATCAGGTGAGAAGATGTCTAAAATTCTGTTCAGAGAGAAACTGTTAGAGAACATCTCCAGAATGCCCTTGCAACATAAAAGACCTATTTCTCTTTGGCTTGTGCTCAAACCCCTTTTCCTTTTCTCCTGGGTGCAGACTCAGACTAAATCCCCAGTCTTTCTTGCAGTTAAGTATAGCCATATAACAGTTCTGGTCATGAGGATGTGCGCCAGAGGGGTTCCCACATCTAGGCTGGTTGTTACATTCTGTGTGGTTCTCACCTCTGACTTTGCCAAGTGTTTGCTCAATGAAAGGGGAAGGTGAGTGGGGCTGCAGAGTGGAGAGCACCTCAGTCCCTGAATGAATGCGTGGTAAAGCCTTCTCTCTCCCCGTGACACGGGAACACTGTTACTGTATTGATCAAACTGAGATACTGGGTAGACTGCCTCCCACCCAGAGAGTATGTTTCAGTCCCAAGCTGCTTTTATCAGATGGTTGGGATCCAGATATGTGGACTTCAACCTGTGCCCAGTGAGGAAATTAATGGCTGAGAAAGTATCAGAGGCCTTCAAATGCTGGTCCTGACTATTTGTTTAACTGGCTGCCAAGCTGTTTTCCTTCCTAACAGCACACAGATTTCTCCTTGATGAATTATTTCTTCTCCATGTAATGAAAGGTGATTAAACTACATGAAACCATTTGTATTTAATTCCAGGTGTGGGAGAAGTAATTGCAAGGCCTTGTATTGATGAAGTATGTTGTGATTCTCATGTTATAAAAATTATGCATGTGCAGAAGACACAGGGCACCCGGTTCCAAAGTAATTACAGTGATCCAGGTGAGTGGAGATGAAGCACACTTTTACTCCTCCACGTGTCTATGTCCTTTGGAATCTCGGCTGCATTTCTTCATCTTCTGAAGGCAATGGAGAGAATTAATGAAAAGATATAGACAACGAGCATAAGGTGAAAGTGACGAGGACTGATTCCAGGCCTAAGCCTCAGGAAGTCTGGCATGCTTCCTGTCTGGCAACCAGCCTCCAGCATGAGAACAAGACTGGCAAGGCAGCTGAAGGATAAGAAACAACATGGAGGAGATGAGGTATCTCAGCTGACAGCCAGCACCCCCAGAAGTAGAGCTGGTTGGCTGAACCCAGGTGTATGAGGGAGCCCCACAGGGAACCACCCTGCTGAGCCCAAACTAAAATGTGAAAGAAAGTGTCAACTAAATACCTGGTGGTGGTGGTATCAGTACCTAATTGATAACACTCCACATAACCTAACTTTATAAAATAGTATGTCCTGTCCATATTTTTCTCATTACTATACATACACATACTCTCATAATCAAATAGACACATGTATGTGGGAAATTCTTGCAAGATTTCCCACATATACAATTAAGAATCTCACTACTTTCACTCAATTACTGTATAGAAATGTTACCAATTCGGTTGACATAGGCCATATTTTAATGGCTGCAGTAAAATATCTAATGTAGATTTTATTTATATTTCTTGATGCCTGTTTCCCTTATGTCTCCACACCTAGCCCTCCAAAGTCATATCTTCCTCACATGCAAAATACATTCATTCTGTTCCAATGACCCTGAAAGTCTTAACATGTTGCAGCACTAACTCTGAAGTCCAAAGTCTTATCTAAATATCATCCAAGGCAGATATGGGTGACTCATATTTATGATTTATCCTGAGGCATAATTCCTCTCCATCTATGAATCTGTGAAGCCAAACATGTTACATGCGAAAATACAATGGTGCGACAGGCATAAGATAGACATTCCCATTCTAAAAGGGAGAAACAGGAAAGGGTTACAGGCCCCATGCAAGTCCAGAACCTAATAGGGCAAAAAACATTAAACCTTAAGTTTTGAGAATTATCCTTTTGCTCAACGCTTTACCTTCTAGATGCCGCACTCACACCCCCCCCAAGTTGGCAGCCTTACCCCTACAGCTCAGCATCATCCCATCTGCTCTGCCATTCTCCTTCAAGGTGGGAGTCATGTCCCCAGGGCTCTACCAGGCAGCCTCACCTGACAAATTACTTCTTTGAAATCAAAGCTGCTTTGAAGTAGCCCTCCCCTGCAGACCTGTGTACCCTGGGCCTGTGGTGGGAGTGCTGGCCCTGCTGATCTCTGAGTCACCTTCAGATTCTTCTTCCATTGTCTTGAAGAATAATGAATGTTTGCAGCCAAACTCTGTTCTAGTGTCTGAGAAGCCTGACAAGTCTTCCTTCACTTTATCCCATTTTTCTCTGTTACTGTAGTCCAGTTTACAGTGTTTATGCTGGTATAATCCCATCTCTATCCCTGTCTTTTGTTGAAATGGTTGATTAAAACAGTGGCTAACATCGAAATGAATTTTCTTATCAAACTCTCTTAGCCACACCCTTAGTGTTCTTTTCCAACTGTACTTCCTTATTTTTCACAATATGTATAGGCTGAGAATTTTCCAAATCTTTAAATTCTGGTTCCATTTCACTTAACAATTCTGTCTTCAAATCACTTCTCACCTTGCATTTTATTTTAGCAGCATAAGAACCAAGCTGCTACTTCAATCCTATGCTTAGAAATCTCTTCAGCAAAATACCTAATTTCATTGTTTCCCAAGTTCTACCTTCCACAAAACACTTGAACACAAACACAGTTCATCCAGTTGTTGTTTGCCACTTTATAACTGGAAACCAGAAGTCTTTCTCTTACTTTTTAAGTAATTAAAAGCTGACCAACTATTTAAAGAAAATAATACTGATACAGAGTACGGCTTAGGACATAGGTAAAAATAAAATTCATGGCAACGACAGTGCTAGCCCTAGAGGAAAGAAATAGCAATATATTGTAATGTTCTTATCACAAAATGATAGCACTTGAAAGTAGAGTTAATAAATAAAATCTGTATACTATAAATCCTAATGCAACCACCAAAATAGCACAAGAGTTTTCTTTTAACAGGCTATCAAAGGAGATAAAATGAGACCCTTAAAAATACAACTAATGCAAAAGATGGCAGAAATAGTGAAAAATTAAACAACAGATGGGACAAGTGAAAAAAAGTAGCAAGATAATAAAGAACTTTGTGCCTAGTTCCTAGGTAGCTTCTAAACCCTTGGAATTTCCCAAGTGATAGGAAATTAGTGTTACTTAATGGTGGACCCCTCAGACTACACTTGATATTTCATGCAGATGAGGTGACCCATGGTAGACCTCTACATGTTTATGCTAGAGATGATTCAGGATAGGGGCCAGCCATGCCAGAAAGACCTAACAAGTAATTAGAGAGTTGAGGCTGTAACCACATGACACCAACCTACTGGAGACTGAGTTCATTCATGTGTCCAATTATTCAATCAATCTGCTTATAAAATGAAATTGCAGTAAATAAAAAAATCTGGATGCTGAAGTTTGAGGTAACTTCTCTCGTTGGTAATATACATAGATCTGCTTGGAAAGGTGATGCATCCTGACTCTACAAGGAAGCAGGTTCTTGAAGATTTGCATTTGAGATACTTCTAGACCTTGATCTGTCTTCTTTTGCATTATTCTTTTTTTGTATCCTTTTTGCCATAATAAAACTGTAATCATAAGTATAGCACTTTCCTGAGTTCCTAAAGATATTCTAGTATCAAAGAAATGTTCTGCCTGAGAAGGTACAGGAAACTTGAAGTTTGTAGCTAGTTGGTCAGAAGTGGGGTGACCTGGGAACTTCTGAGCTTATGGCTGGTGTATGAAGTAAGGGAAGTCTTGAGGATGACTGTGCCATTAACTTGTGAGATTTGGTCTAATTGTGGGCAGGTAGCATTAGAACTGCATTGTGTATTGCCTACACACACAAAAAAAAAAGCAATCGAAATACAGAGAGACAAATAGTTTAGAAGTCAAAGAAGGAAAATGATATACCTTGCTAACAAGTAAAAGAAAGCTAGAGTATTTATATTAATAGACAAGGCAAATTTTAAAGCAAAGAATATTACGAGATTAAAGGGTTATTTCAAAATGATAAAAGTATTTAACTCATTAAGAATCATGATACAAATTGTTTATTCACTTAACAGCAGAGCTCCAAAATAAATGAAAAAAAACATATAAAACTGAAGGTGATATGAGGGAAGATGGCAGAATGGGAAGTGACAAGAATCTGTCTTTCCATGAAGGGAACAATTTCACTAGCACAAACCATCTGAAATAGCTGTTTGAGAGACTATTAAAATGCTTGAATACTCCAAGGAAAGGCTTCACTGGCAAATTGTGGTTAATTTCAGTCAGTTTCAACCTTTAGTGCTGCAGCAGCTGCCCATTTACCACGCTGTAGTGCCATGGTGGGCAGGAATACTCACACTCCTAGATCAGCTTCTGGGAGCCAGGGTGGGCAATAAGGAACCTATCTTTTAAATACTGGGATTCTGTATTCTGATTGCAGATTGCTGCTGTCAATCACAGAAGTGAAGAAATGGAAGAGAGCCACCATTGTTTCAACTCCTACCAGCTAGAGTGGCTTCCAAAGTATTTAAAAGGACAGCACATGGTTTTGTTCTTTTCTTTTTTTCCTTTTTCCTCCTTTTGGAGGTCAGACATTTAAGGATTAGGATATTCAATATCAACTGTGGCATATGAGGGAATTTATAAAGTCACTGTATCTGTCCAGAGAAAGATGCAGGCTCTCACCTCAGGCTGAGTTCTGGCAGAGACACCATACGGCAAAGCCCTACTTCCCAGTATCCTCACCCAGTATCCCTCCCACATTTTACCAGAGTTGATCTATACCATATTATATGGCAAAAATGAGGCATACAAACTCCCATTTTAGGTTATTAAAGACACTGTGGTTTCCTTCTTGGGTGCATTCTCTTCATCACTTGTCTTACTTGCGAGAATCCATGTGATGAACATCCCTACAGAGAGGCGCATATAGCAAGGCACTGAAAGCTTCCTGTTAACAGTCATGGGAAAGAGCTTGGAATCGAACCTTCCAGCCTCAGGCAAGTCTTCAGAGGCTGCAGCCCTAGTAGACAGCTTGAGTGCAATTTCATGGAGGATATTGAGCCATAACTGCCTACCTAAACTGCTCCCGGATTCATGTAATTTTCTTATAGTGACAAATCAGATTAGTGGTCTCCTGAAGACGGTTTGGGAAGGAAGGAGGGCACAAGAAAGCCTTTACAAAGGGTACAAGAAAACCTTTAATTTCATAGGTATAAACGTATCAACTTCTCCATGTTAAATATGTATAAATTTCAAAAAGGCCTTTTTAAAAAAAAGTTAATAGATACTTTTGAAACTCATCATTCCCTAATTATTTTACCCTATTTTACTGTTATCTATGCTTTACCAGTTATTTACATCTATTGTATCTGTATGGTGGAAATATGCAATGGTGTGCTTTCTGCACATCTTTTCCCAACTTCACATTCAGAGACATCATATTGTAGCTTGAAATTGGATTCGTGGTAAACACTACAACTCAGAGCTTGATTTATCATTTCATTGGTTATGAAGATTTTAGAACACAGAGAGTGTGTTAATAGTTCAGATTAAGCTTAAAAGTGTATCAACTTGGCAGTTTTTCATTGCAAACAGCACGAAATTTTGAAGAAATACCATTAAACAGATAAATTAATGACATCATTAATGAATGACTGATATTCCAACAAATTTCTTTGCTGTTTCATTGTATTCTTGAAAATGAAAATAGAAACATCAACCAACATTTATTTTAACAATTGACAAAAGATATGAATGGATATTTCACCAAAGAAGATGTATGAGGCAAATAAACATAAAAAATGCTCAAAAGCATGCATCATTAGTAGAATGCAAGGTAAAACCACAACAAGATTCTATTATTACACACCTAATAGAATGCAAACATTAAAAATACTGATCACAGCAGTTGTTGGCAAGTATTTGGAAGGACTGTAATTCTTAATTCACTGCTGGGAAGAAGATAATATGGTATAGTCACTTTCGAACACAATTTGGCAGTTTCCAAATATTTTAAATATTCACCTATCTTGTGACAAAAGCATTGCACTCCTAGATATTAAAACAAGAGAAATGAAAGCATAGGCCCATATGAAAACATGTACATTCATGGTAATAGTAGCTTACTTTGTAATAGCTAGAAATCCATGTCTTAACAAAAGGGTTAAAAAGCTGAGTAATAATTCTAGGAAGATGGTAGAGTAGAAAGCACCAGGAATTTGTCTCCCCACCTAGACAGCAATTTTACTGACAAAATGTATCAAATATAACTATTTTGGAACTCTGGGGTCTATTCAAAGGTTTACAACTTCTAGAAGAAAGCTTAGGCAGTAAATTGCAGTTAATTTTGGACAACTTCAGCCTTCAGCACTGTGGCAACTCCCATCTTCCACCCCCTTGCCCTGTGGTAAGCAGCAGTATGTGTGTCCCAGAAACAGACCGTGGGAGCCTGAGTGGAACCTTGCTTTCCAAATATTGAGGACCTATGCTCTGATATGTTTGCTGCTTCTAATTGCAGAGGTGAAGACACAAAAGTGGGCAGCCATTTGTGCAACACTCAACCTATTGTTGCAACCCTCTCCTCTCCAGCTGAAGCAACTTGTAGGGGATTTAAGGCACTAGTACATTTTCCTCCTCCATTTTTCTCTTTTTGAGAGCCTGATATTTAGGACTAAGATATCCAAAGCAATTACACATACAAAGGAATTTAGAAAGTAATTGCACATGGAAAGGCACAGGATCAGAATGCATGAGAAGGCCTTAATTTTTTACCTCAGGCTGATCCCTAGCAGAGACAGCCTATAACAAAAAATTCTTTTAAATAAATAAAAATGGAAAACCCTGAGGAAGGTTAAGTATGTGATTTTCAGAGTTCCCGCACTGGACAGATTCAAATGTCCAGTGATCAACAGAAAAAATCACAGTGCATACAAAGAACGGGAAAGCATGGCCCATTCAAAGGGGAAAAAAATCAGAAACTATTCCTTAAAAAGACCTGATGGCAGATCTACCAGACAAATTACCTTTGTTCACAGATGATACAATCTTTTATATGTAGAAAACTCAGGACACCACAAAATTAGTTAGAATAAATAAATTCAACAAAGGATGCAAAACCAACACAGAAAAATCAGATGCATTTCTATATACTAATGATGAACAATCTGAGTAGGAAATAATGAAAAAAATCCTTTTATAATAGCATCAATAAGAATAAAATACTTAGGAATTGACTTAACCAAGGTGAAAACTTGTGCTATAAAAGCTACAAAGCATTGCTAAAGAAAAAAGACATAAATAAATGGAAACATATCCCATGTTCATGGATTGGATAACTGAATATTAAGATGTCACTACTATCCAAAGCAACCTAGAGATTTCATGCAAACCCTATCAAAATCCCAATAACTTTATTTTTTTTTTTGCAGAAACAGAAAAAAATCTAAAATTCAAATGGATTCAATAGCTAAAACAATTCTGAAAAAGATCATTGTTGGATGACTCACATTTCCCAATTTCAGAACTTACTACAAAGCTACATTAATGAAAACATGTAAACACAGACATAAAGACCAATGTAATATAGCCCAGAAGTAAACATCCACATATGTGGTCAAATGATTTTTGACAAGGGTGCTAAGATCAATGAGAAAACTGTATATCCATGTACAAAAGAGTGATGTTACACCCTTACCAAAATATACAAAAGTTATATTTTTGTATATACAAAAGTTAACTCAAAATGGATCAAAGACTTAGATGCAAGACCTAAAACTATAAAACTCTTAGAAGAAAACATAAGACAAAAACACAATCACACTGGATTTGGCAAAGATTTCTTGCATATGACACCAAAGGCACAGAAAACAACAATAGACAAACGACCTCACGAAGATTAAAAACTTTTGTGCATCAAATGACATCAACAAAGGAAAAAGGCAACCCACAGAATGGGAGAGAATACCCTCAAATCGCATCTGTTAAGGGATTAATATCCAGAATTATAATATAGAGAACTAAAACTCAACAACAACAAAAGTAACCCAATTCAATAATGGGCATTTCTCTAAAGATGATATACAAATGACCAATAAGCACACAGAAACAATGACCATCATCATGAATCATTAGGCAAATGCAAATCAAAATCACAATGAGATACCATTTCACACCATCAGAATAGATACTATCCTAAAAACCAGAAAAACAAGTGTTGATGAGGGTGTAGAAAAATTAGAACCCTTCTATCCTGTTGATGGGAACGTAAAACTATATAGCTATTAAAGAAAACAGTATGGAGGCTCTTCGAAAAACTAAATGTAATTTCCATGATGAAGTAATTCCACTTAAAGGTATATACCCAAAAGAATAGAAAGTAGAGTCTTAAAGAAACAGTTGTACACCCATGTTCACAGCAGCATTATTCACAATAGCCAAAAGGCCTAAGTAAATCAAGTATCCATTAATGGATAAATGGATAAACAAAATACAGCATATACAGACAGTGGCATATTATTATTCAGCTTTAAAAAGGAAGGAAATTCTGAAGCATGCTTCAACACAGATGAAACTTGACATTATTCAAAGTGAAATAAGCCAATCACAAAAAGACAAATATCATATGACATCATTTATATGAAGTACATAGTCAAATTAATAGAAACAAAGTAGAATGGTGGCTTTGGAAGGCTTGAGGGAGTGGGGAATTGGGAGTTATTTTTTAATGGGTGTGGTTTCAAATTTGTAAAATGAAAAGAGCTCTAATATGAATGGTGGTGATGGTTACACAACATGAATGTACTTAATACCACTGACCTGAACACTTAAAGATGGCTAAGAGGTATGTCCTATGTGTATTTTCCTGGCTTTTCTTTTTAATTTAAAAAATAAACCATAAAAAAATGTGATGAATTCATTCAAGAGAACTACTCAGCAGTAGAAGGAACAAGCTATTCATGCATACAGCATGGATGATTCTCAAATATGCTGTATGAAAGAAAGTAGACCAAAAATAGATTATAAATATTGTATGATTCCAATTGTATAAAATTGTAGGAAAGGGAAACAAATCTATAGTAAAAAAAAATATCAGAGAAGGAAAGGAGGGATAGTAAAGAGGCAAGAGGTAGCTTTGTGGGTGAACAGGTTCATTATGGTGTTTATTCCCTGAGTGCGTACATATTTTAAAACTTGTCAAATGGCATACATCAAATATGTTCAATTATTGCATGACAATAAAACATTAAAAGAACTTGTACATAAAAATCTCCCACTCCTTTTAGAAAACTAGAAGTTTCAGCATCCCAATATTGACTCCTCATGCTTTAGCAGGAAAAAAATGTCTGGCTGTCATAAATGCTATATCCCCAGAGTACAGGATCCACCTTCTCTCACTTCCCATTTTCTTACCAATGTAGCAATGGCTTTGATAACGAATAGTGCAGAGATACTGCAGTAAATCCAGATTATTTGCTCTGCCAGTGACCTTAGGCATAGGAGAGGTTGGGAGGTGCTGAGAATTTCTGCAAGGTCTGAATCCTGCAGAGTCACATTCAAGGGCACATTTGTGGATGTACCTTTAGAACAGGCACACTCCTTATTTTCTTCAGTCTCACCTACTCCCTATTATCATCCCCACTATTTCTGTACAAATCGTAATCCCAACTGGGCCCAGTAAGTCTTACAGTTAGAAACACCTGTGTACTAGATGTTAGACTGCAAGGAATATGGCTCCTTTGCAGGTGCCAGGTAAACAGTGTCTGCTCAACAGTGCTAGGGAATATGAAGCAACCCCTGAAAACAAGGGGCCCATTACACACTGCTCCCATATGCACTGGAGGTTTTCACCATTGCCCCTTCCTCAGCACAATCTCTGGTCTACAAAAACTCATGCCATTCACACATTAGGGTCACAAAGGCCTACAAGCTTCCCAGGAGTCCTTGTGTAACAATGCTAATGAGGTCAAATCTGGACTGGGAGCTTTCTCTGCCATCCTCCCATTCCCTCAGAGGCAATAAATTTGGAGACCCCTTTAGTTTGGTAGACCTTAATTCTGTTCTCAACCCACAGAACACAGTGATCAGAACCCAGAAGATAAAAGGTGGCTTTATCAGTAAGGCCCTTATCACCCAAACCAGAGCAATGTAAAGTAAGTAGTTGATGAAATGGGTAATGTGGAGGCTGGATAAAACCATCATAAGATCAACATCCTTGAAAAAGGGAAATCCTCTGAAGGCTGTTAGCAGAACCAAGCTCAGGTCTTCGTGGGCAAAGATGGGTCATGTCCACAGCTAGACCAGTCATAGGAGGGAATGACATCTTCCTTTGGCCTTAGGCTACTCACAGTTCCCTCCTGGAAAGAGAGCAGGGTTCTGCTTTCTCTGAGCACAGGGAGTGACTGACACTGGAAACCTGCCAGTAGGTACAGCTGAGATGGCTTTTGCCACAAATACTAGCAATGACACAACTCTGGTGGAGTCCATGGTCAAAAAATGCAACTTTGTTCCAGAAAGCTTCCATCACATCTAGCATCCATAAGGTATCTCACCAGTGTGGATATTTGGATGAATAAGGTTCAACTTCTGACTGATAGCTCCCTCATAAAGACTAGTCTCAGAGCTTATCTCTAGTGTATGTCCTTGTATTGAAAGAGGGAGAACTCTCTCTGCACTCCTTTCTCTAGTGTGAATTTTCTGATGTCGGATGAGGGTAGGCCTTTGGCTGAAGGCTTTTCCACATTCACTGCATTTATATGGCCTATCTGGTTTGTGAACTTTCTGGTGCTGCCTCAGATTAGACCTTTGTCTGAAAGTTTTCCCACATTCAAGGCACTCATAAGGTCGCTCACCAGTGTGAAGTCTCCGATGGTTACTAAGGCTGGAGCTTTGGTTAAAGAATTTCCCACATTCAGGGCATTGATAAGGCCGTTCACCAGTGTGAAGTCTCCGATGGCTCTTGAGACTGGAGCTTTGGCTAAACAATTTCCCACATTCACTGCACTCATAAGGGCGCTCACCAGTGTGGACTCTCTGATGTTTCATTAGGTCAGAGCTTCGACTGAAGGCTTTTCCACACTCACTGCACCCAAAAGGCCGTTCACCAGTGTGAACAATCTGATGTTGAATGAGACTGGCAATGTGGCTAAAGAATTTCCCACACTTGTTGCACTTATAAGGTCTTTCACCAGTGTGAACTCTCCAGTGTTTAATTAGGCTGGAATTGCAGTTGAAGGATTTCCCACATTCATGGCACTCATGAGCACTTTTACCAGTATGAATCCTTTTATGATGGATTAGGTTGGAGCGTTGGCTGAAGAACTTTCCACATTCACTGCACTCATAAGGCTTTTCCCCTGTGTGAACTCTCTTATGTTGAATGAGATTGGAGCTTCTGCTAAAGAATTTTCCACACTCACTGCACACATGTGGGCTTTCTCCAGTGTGAACTCTCTGATGTTTAATGAGACTGGAGTGTTGGCTAAAGAACTTCCCACATTCATAGCACTCGTAAGGTTTTCCTCTATTGTGATCTCTCTGGTGTTGAGAAAGGCCAGCAGCATGGCTGAAGAATATCCCGCATCTGCTGCACTCATAGGGCCTTTCTCCAGGTTGGATTCTCTGGAGCTGAACAAACATGGGTTTGTCACTGAAAGTGTTCCCAGACTCACCACATTTGTTGTGAAAATTCACACCTTTGGTGCTTTGGTGAGACTCCTTCACACTATGAGCAATCTGATGCTGGAGAAAGCCGGATCTAGGCTTTCCACCCATGAAGTCCTTCCCACCCTCCCTGAATGTGAAAGGTTTATTGGGTGAGTTGTCTCTGCAGTTCTTCACAGGTGAGGCCCTTCCCTCATCCCTTCTGACAGGCTTGTCCACATTCTGCTGCACCTGTTTCTGGGGCAGATTTGCATTGACCTCAAACTCTCTCCCATGTGCCTCACACACATATGGTTGTTGCCTGGGATGTGTTGCCTGGTGTTCAGCCTGGGGCAAGATGTCTTTCAAGGGTAGGCCACACATGCCACAGGGGCAATCTTTCTGGGTGGACAGAACCACTTTGGAATTCCTGTCCTGTGACATTCCTTCCACAGAAACACTATTCTGAGAACATGATCCCTCACTTTCCAGTCCATAGCAAAAATCTGAAAACAGAGAAATGCTGGTGAAGTTCATGTTAACTCTGACAAAAGGAAAAAAAAACATCACAAATGTATGTCTGACAAGAATGAATCCATGTGATTGTTGGCAAGATGAGCCTGAGGTCAGGGTAGGGAATAGTCTGCTCTGCAGTACTGTGCCTGGTAAGGTCATAAAACTCGAGAGGCCTTATAGGGACCAAGGACAAGGATGGGGTACAGCACTGGGTCGAAGGGCAGGATCTCCAACTCACTTCTCTATGAAGGCTTTTCAGCAGGGCACTGGCTGCTAGTAACACATGAGCCTGTGCAGAAGAGGGTGTCCAGATCCAGGAAAATTGATCGCAACTGGGTAGCTGGTGTTCAAGGACTATGAAAGGGAATGTGCACATCTCACAACATAGTAAGTGCCACAGAAAGAGAGCTGTGAAAACAGACATGGAGACCAGAAGGGCCAGGCACAGAGTGCCCCAAGTCAAGTAAAAATGTTAAGTGGGCAATGTATCAAGAATGGAAAAGAAAAGGTAGGAAAGAGATAGTCATTGGCTTTGGCAACCAAAACAATGATGAAAATGAGAAAAGTTGCAGATATGACTTGAAGATAGTAGTGATGTCATATGCTCCCCCATCTCCCACTTACCACACCCAGGCCTATTATATGCCCCTCTTGCCATGGCTGAAGTCATGTCCACTTGGTCAGGCACCCAGGGTTTTGCCCCCATCTCCAACTGGGCAACTACATGAGACCTGAAAGATGTAAGTCCTAAGGAAAAGACAGAGCAGGTGAGTGGCCAGCACTTGCCCAGGTGAACTACCCCACAATAGAGTGCAGGAAAGAAAATGAGATATTACAAAAAGAACACATAAGGGAGATCTGGCAGGAACATCCAGTAGTCACAGCAAGTAGTTACTATATCAGGGCCTAGAATTCCTGGTATTTAGGTCTTCAGAAATGTTGGCTAAAGAAAAGGAGAACAGAATGGTCATAGATCTGCATGGGTGCATAGATCTGCATGATCACCCAGGAGGGGAGTAGCTGAGCCAGATCAGATCCACTGGGCAAGACTCCTTCCTGGCCCCTTCCCCGCAAGGCTACTGGGCAGTGGGGTTGTGGCTGCTCAGGGAGAGGGTGGGACACTGCACCCAGCTTAGCCCTGAGCCCACAACACATACACAGGAAAGTGGGGCAGGAAGTAGTGCCCATGGTCTGGCCATGAGAAACCAAGAGCTGCCCCTTGGGAAAAGGGGACAGGCAGAAATGAGCTCAGGACACCAGGGTGGGTGTGAAGGCCTTACCCAGAGAGGCTATAAGTGCAAAGTTCTCCAGCATCACATCGCAGTACAGAAGTCTCTGAGCCTCATCGAGGAGTCCCCACTCCTCTTGGGAGAAGTAAATGGTCACGTCCTCAAAGGTCACACAGCCCTGCCACAATGGAAACAATTCAGTCCATGATCACTTTCTCTCCTCAGGACTCCCTGTCTGTCCTGTACTCAGACTTCTCCCCAGCTCCCCAACTCAGAGGAGACCCCAGGCCTTCATTCCTTTGGCACTTGCTCTTTGCTCATGCCTCATGAGCACTGTATCACCCCACAGCATCGGCAGGCGGGAAGGCAGAGAGACAGCAGCTCAGTTCTGGGCTTCAAGGGCAGGGCCCACCCCCTCGTCTGTGTGCCCCTCTCATAGTGTCACCAATGTCTTGCCTCCCAGATGAAAATAATCTTTTCCCTTAATCTCCAGCACTGGAGCCCTGGGGCCAACAGTGTGCTCCTCACGTGCACATCACTTTTTGGGCTGTGCCTCCCCAAACTCTGGACCTAACCACTTAATCCCCATTGTAACTGTTCTCTCTGCCCATCTCAGCCAACATCATAGCCAACTCCATGTGCCCCCACGTCACTCTGTACTTGGCATCCAGAGAGTTCTTGGCAAATACAACCATGATCTATCCTGTCCTGTCCCAGACCTTGCCCACTGCCAGGAGCAACACCCACCATTAATTTGAAGGTCTCCCCACCTGGCCCTGTTCCTGGCTTCAGTCTAAGCCACCCAGAACCACATATATATATATCAGATACCTTTGGCCCTCTTCTTTCTCTGTGTTGCCTCAGAAGCTTCCCAGGTGCAATCTGAAACAGGCCTCCTTATGCAGAGGGCAAAGAGAGACCCAAGAAAGAGACAGGCAACTCCAGATTGGCAGGTGGCATGTTTAATAAGCAAGGGAACTCACATAACGAGGCTTGTTTTAAGCAGCAGCAAGGTAAGTAGGTCTCCCAACCCACCTGCCAAATCCTCAAGTTTATACAGAAGCCTTAGCTGGCTTCAGTCACATATACAGTCCAGATGGTCTTAATTCCACATCACTATCTCAAGGCTATGTCCTTGGGGCAGTCTCTGGGAGAGGGCAAGGCAGGTGGAGCCCACATTCCAAGGGGGTGGTGGTGAGAGGTCCCCATTTTCTGGGGTCCAACTCACAGGGCAACTGGTGGTCCTCTTGTGACCTCCCCTAACAGTTAGTTGCACACTATGTCCCTTCATCAGTCACCTCATTCAAAAGCCAACCTGTCTGGTCTTCCTATCCCCACCCATCCAGGCTCTAGTGGCTCTCTCTCCCAGATGACCCCATTTGCCCTTGAGCTAATTCCCCAACCCCAATGAAAATCCCCAGGCCCCAGCAAGGGTCAACACAAGGGCCTGGTGAGAAGGGTGAATGAAGGGTTGAAGAAGCACCAGCCCAGGACTGATTTTGCCTCCACTCCTGCAAGGCCTCAGCAACACTGATACCTACACCCCAAAGAAAACACGGCCACCTGCCAAACCCCATTTCCCCCACACAGCCCCTCCTCACCACCTCCATGACCGTTACCGTTCCTCATCTATGATGCCATACAAACTAACCCTGTTGCCCAAGCAAAATACCCTGTTCTTGGCTCTCAGGCCCCACCTGCCTCTTTCCCCCTAACATCACTGCCACCATGACCTGAAGGTTCACCCTTCTAAATCAGACACACAGCTACACCCTTGTCCACACACCAGAGCCACATTTTTGGATGTTTCTACCTATGGAAATAAAAAACAACCAAAAAAAGAAAAACAAAGACTATTTACTCTGAGCTTGCTACAGCAAGGGAGAGCGTCACCATTGCTTATGTTTTTGCAGACTCAAAGGTAGGCAGACAAGTGGGAGAGCTTTATAGTGGAAAAAGGGAAGGCTTCAGGTAGGTCCTGACTGGAAGCTGTAGGCATGGGGAAGTTGTGGGCAGGCTAACTAGAAGCAGGTCATCTTATGTGATTGGTTAGGGGTACATATTTGTTTTTCTCTGGTTGGGCCTAAGTTGGAAGCAGGAACAAAAATGAGAAATGTCTGTTACTATTCAAGCCCTGGCCATTTGGCGCCAGCTGTTACAGAAGTCATTGTTTAACTTCCTGGATTGTCACCAGAGATAGCTATCTGGCTTCCTGCAAGCCTAAATCTAATTTAGAGCAGACTGGCTTCCTGGGTTGTTTATTGTAGATAAAGAAATGGTTTCCTGGGCAGGTTGCTGCAGGTTGTGGGTGAGAATTCTATTTTTATGTATGGTCTGGCTTTTGTCCCTTGTGTATTCAGTCTCTCATAACCTTAACTAACCCTCTCCAGAACACCATAACTGTGTTCAGCTGCCCAGGCTTCGATCCCACCCATAAGTCTCTGGGACATCAGTGCTCACCATGGCCAAAACCTAACTTCTGCTTTTCCATTGATAATTCCTTCTACAACCAACTTCCCCATCTCAGTGGATGGCTCAGCCATCCTTCCAGCTACTAAAGCCAAAAGCCAGGGAGTCATCCTTTTTCTTTCTCACCCTCCATATCAGAAAGTCTGGTCAGCCTGACTTAAAAGACTGATCTAGAACCCAATCACTTCTGCTTCCAACCACCTGTGCTACTCACCTGGACTAGTGCAGTAGCCCACTCCTTGGGCTCCCTGCGCTGCCCCCTTGCCCCATAGTCAGCTTTCCACTCTGCATCCGTTGGGACCCTGTTAGCACCTGAGGCCCATCTTCCTCCTCTACTCTAAGCCGCCTGTGGCGCCCAGCACCCTCAGAATGGAGGCCCAGTTCCTCACCCGTCTATTCCAGGGTTGACTTCAGCCCACCCGCTTTCCAAACACTTCTAACCCAGTCTCACCGCCAGGCATTGGCACACGCTGAGTCCTGTGCCTGGGAACCCCTTCCTCACCTCACCCCATTCGATTCCAGAAACGGGAACCGCTCTATATAATCCCTGGCCCGGATTCAGGATCCCAGGCTGGGAGTGCCTTCCCTCCAGGGCCCCCAGATTCAAAAGCGGAGAGCTGGGAAAGGCGAAAGGTCTAGAACAAGGCACTCCTGTCGTATCCCGGCCAGACGCGCGAGGGTGGGGCTGTGGGCGGCAGTGGGGCGCGAGCGCGTCACTCACCTGCGCCGGCTCCATCAGCGCCGCGGGGTGCTCCCGGCCTGACTCCCGGGGTGAGAGCACACAGCGCAGGCGGCAGGCACCGCGTTGTAGGCGCCCCGGCCGCGCCGTCCTCCCCACTCCAGCCGGAAAAGCCGCCCGAGCGGTGGTATTAGCCCAGCCCGGGCCCCACGGTCCCCGTCGCACTGACAGCCCGGGGAAGTGACTTGCTGAACGCAAACGCAGGAACTTCTCCGAGCCTTAGAAGTGCTACTCTCCCGGGCTGTCACTGGCGTGGCGCCAGCTGATGACGCAGGCACAGCTTCCCCTATTGTGTGGGGTCCCCATCCCGCATCCAGCGGGGCTGGCGGGGAGGAGAGAGGCCCTCGGTGGTTCTTGGTTTCAAGGTGATAGTGGCCGCGCCTCACCGCGTGCTTTTCCTCTTATCGAGTGGCTTTCCCGACACTCGTGTGTCTTCATGGGGCCAAATCCCGCCTGCACTCAGAGGCCTGCGAGACACATTTCTGCGGCTGTGGCTCTAGGTGAGCCTCTTCCCCTCGCAGGCACGCTGCGACGTAGATGCACAGGGGAAATGAAGGTGAATTCAGTGCTTTTCAAACCAGTAACATCGCCATTACCTGGAAATGTGTTATAAGGGCAAGTTCTTGGCAACAATCCAAACAGAGGGATTCAGACATGCGGTAAGGGGGGCAGCCTACTCCAATTTGAGAAAAGGGACTCACATTAAACTCCAGTAAATAAAATGGGAAAAATACCACAGAATTTGTGGTAGTTAAGGGCACATGGTTACTGCTGGATGCTTAACAGCTATCGTTACCATCACAAGTCAGGAACACTGCTGTGCAAGTCAGAGACACCTCTCTGCACTGTACTATGGGATATTTGCCAAATATGAAACACAATGAGTCTCTAATGCAGCAAGTAGCTGCATTGGTAGTGATAATTTTTACTTGAAAACACACCTTTTACCATTTGGCTTGTCAAAATCAATAAAGGGAATCCTTATCTGTTGGAATTAGGAGACCTGGAGAGGGAGTCCCCATGCCCTAGAACTCCTGGTCAATTGCAGACCCATAGGAAGGAAGAGACCAACGGTTTACTCCCTATACTCTTTTGGCTACTTTACTATCCAGTAGGAGGAGGGAAGAATTTCTGCCTGCCCACAGAGAGACTGCTACAACTCAGCCAATGAGCAGCCTTGTGGGGCTCCGAATTTCCTCCAATGGACTCTGCTTAGAATAGTCCCCCAACTCTCCCCCTTTCTCTTATAAAAAAGCACTCATTTCCTTTGTTCTCTGGACGTGCAGTGGTGATGGTAATGGGCATTTGCCATTGCTTGCTTGTTCCAAATTGTAATTCTCTGCCATTCCCAAATAAACCCATTTTGCTGGTAAAATAACTGATAGCTTTATTTTTAAGGTTAACAGGTTGTTTGTTTTATTTTATTCTTTAAAACACATCTTGTATGACAGGTTCATAAACTACAAGTAGGCCTATTGCCTAAATGACCGATTCTTAGCGACTACATGATTCAACATTTGAGAGCACCAGGACTGAAAGCCCTCAGACATAGGTGGACAGTAGAGTTGATATGGTCTCAAATTTGTAACATACAATAAATGTCATTACTCATCTCTAATTCTCAGCAATTAAGAAAGAAATTCTTCAATACACTTAAATAACGGCTAGGCAGACTTTTATTCAGGGTCACAATTATGATGGGTTTAGGGACCAGCCAATAGTTGCTTGTAGTGAGAGAGAGAGAGGGAGGGAGAGAAAGATTGGACCAACTCCAAATATAACAAGGAAAAGTGAAGACTGAGAGCCAAAGAACAGGGTCAGGGATCAGTGGATGGGAAATTATTGAGGGCAAGGGAGATTTCTGGCTGAACCAGCCTAACAGGATTCTTGCTGAAGTCAGGCCAGGATGATCAGACATCACTTGGGGGAAGTTGAGGGATGAGGAACCTGGTCGGATATCAAGAGTGATCCTATATACCAAGGGTAGGGGTTCTTGTGAAACTAACATAGCAAGGTTCTTGATAACATTAGACAATACAGAGAGAAACACGAAAGTCCAAAACTCAGGGCATGGTTGAGAAAAGAGTTCAGATAATCTGGAGTAGAGGTTTGTCAAGGAGAGAATATCACAGGAACCAAATCCTCCCTTCTTCTGACCTCTCCCCACCAACCCAATAGCATTTGGAGCAGCCAGATCTAGGTACAAATATCTGATCACAAGATAGCCCAGCTTGATGTCCATTGGCTGGAGGTTACCAGGCCTTGTTCTCAGCAAGAATTAGTCAGCCCACCACCTGGATCTGCAACNCACCCTCCCTGAATGTGAAAGGTTTATTGGGTGAGTTGTCTCTGCAGTTCTTCACAGGTGAGGCCCTTCCCTCATCCCTTCTGACAGGCTTGTCCACATTCTGCTGCACCTGTTTCTGGGGCAGATTTGCATTGATCTCAAACTCTCTCCCATGTGCCTCACACACATATGGTTGTTGCCTGGGATGTGTTGCCTGGTGTTCAGCCTGGGGCAAGATGTCTTTCAAGGGTAGGCCACACATGCCACAGGGGCAATCTTTCTGGGTGGACAGAACCACTTTGGAATTCCTGTCCTGTGACATTCCTTCCACAGAAACACTATTCTGAGAACATGATCCCTCACTTTCCAGTCCATAGCAAAAATCTGAAAACAGAGAAATGCTGGTGAAGTTCATGTTAACTCTGACAAAAGGAAAAAAAAACATCACAAATGTATGTCTGACAAGAATGAATCCATGTGATTGTTGGCAAGATGAGCCTGAGGTCAGGGTAGGGAATAGTCTGCTCTGCAGTACTGTGCCTGGTAAGGTCATAAAACTCGAGAGGCCTTATAGGGACCAAGGACAAGGATGGGGTACAGCACTGGGTCGAAGGGCAGGATCTCCAACTCACTTCTCTATGAAGGCTTTTCAGCAGGGCACTGGCTGCTAGTAACACATGAGCCTGTGCAGAAGAGGGTGTCCAGATCCAGGAAAATTGATCGCAACTGGGTAGCTGGTGTTCAAGGACTATGAAAGGGAATGTGCACATCTCACAACATAGTAAGTGCCACAGAAAGAGAGCTGTGAAAACAGACATGGAGACCAGAAGGGCCAGGCACAGAGTGCCCCAAGTCAAGTAAAAATGTTAAGTGGGCAATGTATCAAGAATGGAAAAGAAAAGGTAGGAAAGAGATAGTCATTGGCTTTGGCAACCAAAACAACGATGAAAATGAGAAAAGTTGCAGATATGACTTGAAGATAGTAGTGATGTCATATGCTCCCCCATCTCCCACTTACCACAGCCAGGCCTATTATATGCCCCTCTTGCCATGGCTGAAGTCATGTCCACTTGGTCAGGCACCCAAGGTTTTGCCCCCATCTCCAACTGGGCAACTACATGAGACCTGAAAGATGTAAGTCCTAAGGAAAAGACAGAGCAGGTGAGTGGCCAGCACTTGCCCAGGTGAACTACCCCACAATAGAGTGCAGGAAAGAAAATGAGATATTACAAAAAGAACACATAAGGGAGATCTGGCAGGAACATCCAGTAGTCACAGCAAGTAGTTACTATATCAGGGCCTAGAATTCCTGGTATTTAGGTCTTCAGAAATGTTGGCTAAAGAAAAGGAGAACAGAATGGTCATAGATCTGCATGGGTGCATAGATCTGCATGATCACCCAGGAGGGGAGTAGCTGAGCCAGATCAGATCCACTGGGCAAGACTCCTTCCTGGCCCCTTCCCCGCAAGGCTACTGGGCAGTGGGGTTGTGGCTGCTCAGGGAGAGGGTGGGACACTGCACCCAGCTTAGCCCTGAGCCCACAACACATACACAGGAAAGTGGGGCAGGAAGTAGTGCCCATGGTCTGGCCATGAGAAACCAAGAGCTGCCCCTTGGGAAAAGGGGACAGGCAGAAATGAGCTCAGGACACCAGGGTGGGTGTGAAGGCCTTACCCAGAGAGGCTATAAGTGCAAAGTTCTCCAGCATCACATCGCAGTACAGAAGTCTCTGAGCCTCATCGAGGAGTCCCCACTCCTCTTGGGAGAAGTAAATGGTCACGTCCTCAAAGGTCACACAGCCCTGCCACGATGGAAACAATTCAGTCCATGATCACTTTCTCTTCTCAGGACTCCCTGTCTGTCCTGTACTCAGACTTCTCCCCAGCTCCCCAACTCAGAGGAGACCCCAGGCCTTCATTCCTTTGGCACTTGCTCTTTGCTCATGCCTCATGAGCACTGTATCACCCCACAGCGTCGGCAGGCAGGGAAGGCAGAGAGACAGCAGCTCAGTTCTGGGCTTCAAGGGCAGGGCCCACCCCCTCGTCTGTGTGCCCCTCTCATAGTGTCACCAATGTCTTGCCTCCCAGATGAAAATAATCTTTTCCCTTAATCTCCAGCACTGGAGCCCTGGGGCCAACAGTGTGCTCCTCACGTGCACATCACTTTTTTGGGCTGTGCCTCCCCAAACTCTGGACCTAACCACTTAATCCCCATTGTAACTGTTCTCTCTGCCCATCTCAGCCAACATCATAGCCAACTCCATGTGCCCCCCACGTCACTCTGTACTTGGCATCCAGAGAGTTCTTGGCAAATACAACCATGATCCATCCTGTCCTGTCCCAGACCTTGCCCACTGCCAGGAGCAACACCCACCATTAATTTGAAGGTCTCCCCACCTGGCCCTGTTCCTGGCTTCAATCTAAGCCACCCAGAACCACATATATATATCAGATACCTTTGGCCCTCTTCTTTCTCTGTGTTGCCTCAGAAGCTTCCCAGGTGCAATCTGAAACAGGCCTCCTTATGCAGAGGGCAAAGAGAGACCCAAGAAAGAGACAGGCAACTCCAGATTGGCAGGTGGCATGTTTAATAAGCAAGGGAACTCACATAACGAGGCTTGTTTTAAGCAGCAGCAAGGTAAGTAGGTCTCCCAACCCACCTGCCAAATCCTCAAGTTTATACAGAAGCCTTAGCTGGCTTCAGTCACATATACAGTCCAGATGGTCTTAATTCCACATCACTATCTCAAGGCTATGTCCTTGGGGCAGTCTCTGGGAGAGGGCAAGGCAGGTGGAGCCCACATTCCAAGGGGGTGGTGGTGAGAGGTCCCCATTTTCTGGGGTCCAACTCACAGGGCAACTGGTGGTCCTCTTGTGACCTCCCCTAACAGTTAGTTGCACACTATGTCCCTTCATCAGTCACCTCATTCAAAAGCCAACCTGTCTGGTCTTCCTATCCCCACCCATCCAGGCTCTAGTGGCTCTCTCTCCCAGATGACCCCATTTGCCCTTGAGCTAATTCCCCAACCCCAATGAAAATCCCCAGGCCCCAGCAAGGGTCAACACAAGGGCCTGGTGAGAAGGGTGAATGAAGGGTTGAAGAAGCACCAGCCCAGGACTGATTTTGCCTCCACTCCTGCAAGGCCTCAGCAACACTGATACCTACACCCCAAAGAAAACACGGCCACCTGCCAAACCCCCTTTCCCCCACACAGCCCCTCCTCACCACCTCCATGACCGTTACTGTTCTTCATCTATGATGCCATGCAAACTAACCCTGTTGCCCAAGCAAAATACCCTGTTCTTGGCTCTCAGGCCCCACCTGCCTCTTTCCCCCTAACATCACTGCCACCATGACCTGAAGGTTCACCCTTCTAAATCAGACACACAGCTACACCCTTGTCCACACACCAGAGCCACGTTTTTGGATGTTTCTACCTATGGAAATAAAAAACAACCAAAAAAAGAAAAACAAAGACTATTTACTCTGAGCTTGCTACAGCAAGGGAGAGCGTCACCATTGCTTATGTTTTTGCAGACTCAAAGGTAGGCAGACAAGTGGGAGAGCTTTATAGTGGAGAAAGGGAAGGCTTCAGGTAGGTCCTGACTGGAAGCTGTAGGCATGGGGAAGTTGTGGGCAGGCTAACTAGAAGCAGGTCATCTTATGTGATTGGTTAGGGGTACATATTTGTTTTTCTCTGGTTGGGCCTAAGTTGGAAGCAGGAACAAAAATGAGAAATGTCTGTTACTATTCAAGCCCTGGCCATTTGGCGCCAGCTGTTACAGAAGTCATTGTTTAACTTCCTGGATTGTCACCAGAGATAGCTATCTGGCTTCCTGCAAGCCTAAATCTAATTTAGAGCAGACTGGCTTCCTGGGTTGTTTATTGTAGATAAAGAAATGGTTTCCTGGGCAGGTTGCTGCAGGTTGTGGGTGAGAATTCTATTTTTATGTATGGTCTGGCTTTTGTCCCTTGTGTATTCAGTCTCTCATAACCTTAACTAACCCTCTCCAGAACACCATAACTGTGTTCAGCTGCCCAGGCTTCGATCCCACCCATAAGTCTCTGGGACATCAGTGCTCACCATGGCCAAAACCTAACTTCTGCTTTTCCATTGATAATTCCTTCTACAACCAACTTCCCCATCTCAGTGGATGGCTCAGCCATCCTTCCAGCTACTAAAGCCAAAAGCCAGGGAGTCATCCTTTTTCTTTCTCACCCTCCATATCAGAAAGTCTGGTCAGCCTGACTTAAAAGACTGATCTAGAACCCAATCACTTCTGCTTCCAACCACCTGTGCTACTCACCTGGACTAGTGCAGTAGCCCACTCCTTGGGCTCCCTGCGCTGCCCCCTTGCCCCATAGTCAGCTTTCCACTCTCCATCCGTTGGGACCCTGTTAGCACCTGAGGCCCATCTTCCTCCTCTACTCTAAGCCGCCTGTGGCGCCCAGCACCCTCAGAATGGAGGCCCAGCTCCTCACCCGTCTATTCCAGGGTTGACTTCAGCCCACCCGCTTTCCAAACACTTCTAACCCAGTCTCACCGCCAGGCATTGGCACACGCTGAGTCCTGTGCCTGGGAACCCCTTCCTCACCTCACCCCATTCGATTCCAGAAACGGGAACCGCTCTATATAATCCCTGGCCCGGATTCAGGATCCCAGGCTGGGAGTGCCTTCCCTCCAGGGCCCCCAGATTCAAAAGCGGAGAGCTGGGAAAGGCGAAAGGTCTAGAACAAGGCACTCCTGTCGTATCCCGGCCAGACGCGCGAGGGTGGGGCTGTGGGCGGCAGTGGGGCGCGAGCGCGTCACTCACCTGCGCCGGCTCCATCAGCGCCGCGGGGTGCTCCCGGCCTGACTCCCGGGGTGAGAGCGCACAGCGCAGGCGGCAGGCACCGCGTTGCAGGCGCCCCGGCCGCGCCGTCCTCCCCACTCCAGCCGGAAAAGCCGCCCGAGCGGTGGTATTAGCCCAGCCCGGGCCCCACGGTCCCCGTCGCACTGACAGCCCGGGGAAGTGACTTGCTGGACGCAAACGCAGGAACTTCCGAGCCTTAGAAGTGCTACTCTCCCGGGCTGTCACTGGCGTGGCGCCAGCTGATGACGCAGGCACAGCTTCCCCTATTGTGTGGGGTCCCCATCCTGCATCCAGCGGGGCTGGCGGGGAGGAGAGAGGCCCTCGGTGGTTCTTGGTTTCAAGGTGATAGTGGCCGCGCCTCACCGCGTGCTTTTCCTCTTATCGAGTGGCTTTCCCGACACTCGTGTGTCTTCATGGGGCCAAATCCCGCCTGCACTCAGAGGCCTGCGAGACACATTTCTGCGGCTGTGGCTCTAGGTGAGCCTCTTCCCCTCGCAGGCACGCTGCGACGTAGATGCACAGGGGAAATGAAGGTGAATTCAGTGCTTTTCAAACCAGTAACATCGCCATTACCTGGAAATGTGTTATAAGGGCAAGTTCTTGGCAACAATCCAAACAGAGGGATTCAGACATGCGGTAAGGGGGGCAGCCTACTCCAATTTGAGAAAAGGGACTCACATTAAACTCCAGTAAATAAAATGGGAAAAATACCACAGAATTTGTGGTAGGTAAGGGCACATGGTTACTGCTGGATGCTTAACAGCTATCGTTACCATCGCAAGTCAGGAACACTGCTGTGCAAGTCAGAGACACCTCTCTGCACTGTACTATGGGATATTTGCCAAATATGAAACACAATGAGTCTCTAATGCAGCAAGTAGCTGCATTGGTAGTGATAATTTTTACTTGAAAACACACCTTTTACCATTTGGCTTGTCAAAATCAATAAAGGGAATCCTTATCTGTTGGAATTAGGAGACCTGGAGAGGGAGTCCCCATGCCCTAGAACTCCTGGTCAATTGCAGACCCATAGGAAGGAAGGGACCAACGGTTTACTCCCTATACTCTTTTGGCTACTTTACTATCCAGTAGGAGGAGGGAAGAATTTCTGCCTGCCCACAGAGAGACTGCTACAACTCAGCCAATGAGCAGCCTTGTGGGGCTCCGAATTTCCTCCAATGGACTCTGCTTAGAATAGTCCCCCAACTCTCCCCCTTTCTCTTATAAAAAAGCACTCATTTCCTTTGTTCTCTGGACGTGCAGTGGTGATGGTAATGGGCATTTGCCATTGCTTGCTTGTTCCAAATTGTAATTCTCTGCCATTCCCAAATAAACCCATTTTGCTGGTAAAATAACTGATAGCTTTATTTTTAAGGTTAACAGGTTGTTTGTTTTATTTTATTCTTTAAAACACATCTTGTATGACAGGTTCATAAACTACAAGTAGGCCTATTGCCTAAATGACCGATTCTTAGCGACTACATGATTCAACATTTGAGAGCACCAGGACTGAAAACCCTCAGACATAGGTGGACAGTAGAGTTGATATGGTCTCAAATTTGTAACATACAATAAATGTCATTACTCATCTCTAATTCTCAGCAATTAAAGAAAGAAATTCTTCAATACACTTAAATAACGGCTAGGCAGACTTTTATTCAGGGTCACAATTATGATGGGTTTAGGGACCAGCAATAGTTGCTTGTAGTGAGAGAGAGAGAGGGAGGGAGAGAAAGATTGGACCAACTCCAAATATAACAAGGAAAAGTGAAGACTGAGAGCCAAAGAACAGGGTCAGGGATCAGTGGATGGGAAATTATTGAGGGCAAGGGAGATTTCTGGCTGAACCAGCCTAACAGGATTCTTGCTGAAGTCAGGCCAGGATGATCAGACATCACTTGGGGGAAGTTGAGGGATGAGGAACCTGGTCGGATATCAAGAGTGATCCTATATACCAAGGGTAGGGGTTCTTGTGAAACTAACATAGCAAGGTTCTTGATAACATTAGACAATACAGAGAGAAACACGAAAGTCCAAAACTCAGGGCATGGTTGAGAAAAGAGTTCAGATAATCTGGAGTAGAGGTTTGTCAAGGAGAGAATATCACAGGAACCAAATCCTCCCTTCTTCTGACCTCTCCCCACCAACCCAATAGCATTTGGAGCAGCCAGATCTAGGTACAAATATCTGATCACAAGATAGCCCAGCTTGATGTCCATTGGCTGGAGGTTACCAGGCCTTGTTCTCAGCAAGAATTAGTCAGCCCACCACCTGGATCTGCAACACCCTGTGGAGCACTAAGCCCTAAACTAAAGGGGAGATGGGAAACAGGAACCACTGAGGCCCAAGAAGGCCATACCAGGAAAACGCACAGAATGAGAAAATATAATGAAGACAAAATTTCAGTCACTTCTGTCCATTCTTCATTGACCCAAGCCCATTTACATGGCCCAAATTAAATGTAACGGAAGCTGGATGTACAGAAAGAGAGAAAAGGATTGGTGAGCATGTCACTATTTTCAAGGACAATCCATCAATTTGGTAATCAAATACTCATGTTTTATCAGTCATCACCTCAATTTCAATCCTAGTATTTATGTTCTATCCTAACCTAAGACCAGGAGACTATAAACAACCTAAGTTATTTGTCATCAGTTACACCAGTCACCAATATGTAATTGTGGTTCAGGGACACAGTGAAAGGACCTCTTCAAACTGCTTAAGAAATTACTACCAATCTAGATTTTTATACATAGAAAAATTGTCCTTCAAGAAAAAAATACATGAACTAAGATTATTTTAAGCCAAAAATGAAAATTTAATGGAAAATCAACCTGCATAAAATGCAATTCTAAATATTATATTTAAGAACGGTGCAGTGATTCCAGCTGAAAGCTGTGTTGATAGGAATGAGCATCTGAGACAGGAGTATGTGTGTTAATACAACTGTTCATTATCTGTATAAAACATGAGTGATGTTCCTTGGTAAAGTCACGGTGCATAATATAAAAATCATGGAAATTGAAATGGTATAAAGTGACTAATATTCCAAGTACCGTATGTTGTTGAGGAGGAAGGTAAAGGCATTTTCAACACTGTGCAATAATGTGTTAAAATAAGTATTTGTAATTTTTAGCTTGAATAGTAATAAATAAGACCAGAGGCATACTTTCCAAACTAGAAAAAAATATTGTATTGTTAAAGTATTGGGTAAAGAACAAGTGAGGCAAAGAAAAGCAGAAAACTCCAAGAATCAACTGGTACATTAAATTAAAACATTCGAATTAGCAGTCAGAATTTTTTAATGGCTCAAAATGCCCTTCAGGATGGATAAGATTTTTTTTAATTGATGGACATTTTTAAGAGAAGTTTTAGGTTCACAACAAAATTGAGCAGAAAGTGCTGTGTTCCCATATACCTCTTCCCCCACTCACTCTCCTTCCTTCAACATCTCATCAGTGTGGTGCATTTGTTACAATCTATGAACTAACACTGACACATCGTTATTAAGCAAAGTCCGCAGTTTGCATTATAGTTCACTCTTTCTGTTACACTTTCTGTGGGTTTTGACAAATGTATAGTGTCATCTGCCATTATAGTTTCACTGCCCTAAAAAATCCCCTGTGTTCTGTTATTCATCCAACCTTCCCTCACCTGGCAGCCACTGAATTTTTTACTGTCTCCATAGTTTTGCCTTTTCCTCATACAATATGCAGCCTTTTAAGATTGGCTTCTTTCACTTAGTAACATTTATTTACATTTCCTCTAAGTTTTTTCATAACTTATAGCTCATTTATTTTTAGCTCTGCACAATATTCCATTGTCTGGATGCACCAGAGTTTACTTATCCATTCACCTACCAAAGGACATCTTGTTTACATCTTTGGTGATTATGAATAAAGCTGCTACAAACATCTGTGTGCAAGTTTTTATGGATGTAAGTTTTCAGTTCTTTTGGATTCTGTTCGTACTACCAAGAAGAACCAATGCTGGATTATGTGGTAAGAATATGCTTAGTTTTGTAAGACACTGCCAAATTGACTTCCAAAGAAAATGTTTTACATGTTGCATTCCTACCAGCAATGAATGAGAGTTCCTGTTGTTGCACATACTCACCAGCATTATTTCTTGTCAATGTTTTGGATTTTAGTAATTCTAATAGGTGTGTAGTGATATTTCACTATTGTGTTTATTTTATTTCCCTAATGATGATTGGTGTTAAGCATCTTCCTTTAATCTTATTTTCCATCTGTATATTATCTTTGGTGAGGTGAATAGTCAATCTTTTCCCATTTTTTATTAGGTTGTTTATTTTCCTATTGCTAAGAGTCCTTTGTAGGTTTTAGATCATGATCTTTTATCAGATTTATCTTTTACAAAAATTTTTCTTCCAGTCTGAGGCTTGTCTTCTTATTCTATTGACAGTATCTTTCACAGAAGAGAAGTTTATAATTTTAATAAAATTCAATTTATCATTTTTTTCTTTCATGGAGCATGCCTTTGTTGTTGTATATAAAAAGTCATAGCCAAACAAAGGTCATTTAGATTTTCTCCTATTTTATATTTTAGGAGTCTTGAACTTTGCATTTAAAATTTAGGTCTGTGATTTTATTCAAGTTAATTTTTGTGAAGGCATAAGGTCTGTGTCTAGATTCAATTTTTGCATGTGGATGTATAGTCCTTCTAGCTCCATTTGTTGAAAAGATTATCCTTTCTCCATTGAATTGCCTTTGCTCATTTGTCAAAGATAAGTTGACTAAATTTTTATGGATCCATTTATAAGCTGTCTATTCTGTTCCACTGATCTATTTGTCTATTATTTTACCAGTATCACACTGTCTAGATTACTGTAGCTTTATAATAAGTCTTAAAATTGGATAGTGTCGGCCCTCCAATTTGTTCATCCCCCTGAATATTGGGTTGGCTATTTGGTATGTTTTGACTGTCCATACTTTAGAATCAGTTTGTTGATATCCACAAAATAACTTCCTGGGATTTTTTATTGGGATTGCATTGAATCTATATACCAATTTGGGAAGAACTGACATCTTGACAAAATTGAGTCTTCCTATCCATGAACATGGAATATCTCTGCATTTGATTGTTTTTCCCTTGATTTCTTTCATCATTTTCATAGTTTTCCTCATATAGATCTTGTACATATTTTGTTAGATTTATACCTAAGTACTCTGTTTTTTATATTAATGCAATGGTATTGCATTTTAATTTCAAATTCCAATTGT